GTTGGACGTGTTTTGCGCGGAAAGACTGATTGGGGACTCATGGTATTCGCTGACAAGGTATAGTATTTTGTGCTTCACCAAGCAAAATCTCACCAAGATATTCCAGCGCTTCAGCCGAGCGGACAAGCGGGCGAAGTTGCCAAGGTGGATCAACCAGTACATCACGAATGCTGCGTCAAATCTGTCGACTGACATGGCAATAACGCTGTCGAAGCTTTTCATGCGGACGATATCTCAAAACCCGAATGAGAACCAAACAGGCGTATCACTGTGGACACTTGAGGATGTACACAAGGCACAAGCAAAGCAGAAGCAAAAGGATATGGAGGACGCAGCTAAAATGGACGAGGAGGAAGACGAGTTTGATGATGATGGGATCACGGACAAAATGCTCATGGACTTTGACGATGATGATTAGCCTGTATATCATTCTTCATAAGTTGCTAGTGTACCTTAGTTTGCAATAATGTTAGCTCAATTCGTGTATCTCAAGGTGCACGCATGTTGTTTGAGCGGTCTGCGCGTATGCTAGCCCAGTTCCTCGGGCGCAGGTCAAAGGACAATTGTTGAAGAGATATGAATACATGGTAGAGAGATGGGTATGTACGAAAGGTAGCGTGAAGGTCATGTCTCTTCGTGACTTAAAAACTTGCCTGGTCCATGGATTACCGACTCCCCATCGTACCAGCAGTGCTAATAGCCGACATCGACGTATTTTCGCTGTTTCTGGCCCTTGCTGCATCGACGTGCCGCCCAGGCATCAGATGTACACATTCGCCCGAGTGTTCAGCGGACGCAAGCACCTCCTGGGAAAGATTTTCGTGGTTCAACATCAGATGTCCCGCTATTGCGTTGAATTCTTTGGCATCTAGCGCCTTTGGGTAAGCCTAGAGTTAATAAAAAGCTAGGAAATCCACACCTTTTGTCGCGACCTCGTATAGCTTGGATTTGTCACTGCACCCATGATCTCTGAAGAACTTGTGGTTCAGGATTTTGTCGATAGTCGGGCGTTGTTGTGGATCGTGTGCTAGTAACTACACATAGACATACATCAGGCTTCCTTCTAGCGCTATCGACTCATAGCACGTACCTTGCCGTAAACTAGACTATAGAGGTCCCATTTCGCGTAATAAGCCTTGCTGAACTCCTCGACCTGAGGGTCTTTCGCGTCGAACGGCATCTTGTCGAACCGGAAGTTCAGTGCTTCATTTGGTCCCGGTTTATTCATCCAGTGCCCTTCAATCCATTCGAAGTCCATCATCTCCAGAAAGAGGACACCGAAAGAGTAAATGTCGGCCTTGATTCCATCGACACGGGCTTTCTCTTTGCGTAACTCCGGAGCCATATATGGGTTTCTGGCGACGTAAGGTGGGTAGACAGCATCCAGATGTTGGCACGCGCCAAAGTCACAAATACGTGCATGCTGTCGCGTCCCATGGAAGCAAATGTTATCCGGTGTAAGATTGAGGTGTGCGATATTGCGTTCATGCAAGTCATTGAGACCAAGGAGCTTGTCTGCTTGAGTTTCATAATGGGAGCATTACTAGGGGACATACCACTTCCACCGCACAACGAGCTAGTTTCTCAACCGTTAGCTTCGCACGAGATGAGTTTGCAAAGATTTTGCGCAGGTTAACCGAGTACGTGGGCTTTTACGGTCTTAGCTAACATCCTGAGAAAGCAAGAAGCGCACCATAAATATGTATGTTGCATCCAAATCATGTCCCACGAATATTAGCTCGGCCAAGAATGGGCTTAGCCCCGGATTATCACGCATCACATCCACCTCCTTCTGCACCTCAGCAAGTGCTGCCATTCGGTCTGCCGCGCCCCACGGTTTGTTTTCTCGGTCCTGAGTGTTCCGTTCCACGAGCTTGTGTGTGTACACAATCTTGACCGCGCATTGTCTGTTGCAGGTCTCGCCGCGACTCTGCCGATCCTCCAATGCCGTCCATACTGCACACGTCTCGCCTGCGTAGAGTAGCGGGGTCACGGCCTTGAACCGGCGGCCAGCGAAGTTGAGTATAAGAGGCCGGTCGTATGAATGTGTCTGGTACCCCAACCGGACAGCCTCTTTCTCACTGTACGTAGGCGCGAATGCATCCACTGGTGGAGTAAGTGTTCTGTTTTGCGCGGCATTGAGGAAGGGTATCCACGACGCGTGCTTAGCAGGTTTCTTGGTCTTCGCTGGGTGCGCCCGGTCCGATTCGTCGTCTGACGGAGGGTCAGGTAGTCTGCCTTTCGGGCGGCGCTTTGAATGTGGTCTTCCAAACTTGACTTTTGGCAACGTAGATCCACAGCACAGGAGATGCATCGAGGGAGTAGAAGAACAAGGGAATGTTGGGCGCTGTGAACAGAGCGTCTTTATATATGAGGATCACAAAGAACATGAGGCTTTACGCCTGTTTCCAAAGGATCGAATGAAAGAGAAACCCGCTTCCATTGTTCAACCGAGTATTGACACGATCAAATAATCCCAGGTCATAATCCATGGAGTGACTGCAGAGGCGCTAAGTATTCAGAGCAAACTCACGGATACTCTAAGCTACTTCAGGCGCGCAGGTGGCCCTTCTCTTCTCCGCTGCAAGACGCGCGCGCAAACGCAGATTGCGTTCTCTCTCGCTCCCCACCGAGTCGATTGTTTGCTCGGGCGTGCGATCCTCCTGCGTTTGTGTGGTGTCCGCTTTGAGGGCAAGTAGACGCCGGCGAATCTCTGCCTGTTTCGAATTACATGGCTCCGGTTGTTCTGTCACGACCAGTGGTGTCGAGGGACCCTTCTGTGTGGAGAGTCGTGAGTTGGCAAAGCCCAAGTGAGCATGTACAGATTCTAATGCAGATCTTAGAGGCCGCTTGGGATGTCCAACGAGCGATTGTGTTCTCGGCACAAGCGGCGTCGGCTCCACGATTTGGGCGGGCTTTGGGACAAGCTCTTCTACCGTACTACAGACCGACGGTGAAGAGGGTGAAAGGGAGTGCGACGGTGGAGACCGCGCTCGGTGTTGTTGAGCGAGCTGAGGCGCTGGCACTGGTGTTGGTGGGGGACTGTCATCTTGCACGCCCGTGTGGGTGTATATTCTGCCGGACGGCGACCAGGATATATCTGACCGTGCTGGCGAGGGGGACGAGCGGCGCCGCACTGATGGACGAACCGGCGAGGGCGATCGGGGTCTTCGTGCCCGCCGAGGTGGCGAAACAGAGGGCTCTGGGCTAGGCGTCGTCGTCCGGGAGCGCGGACCGTGCCAGCGTACATCTCTCTCGGGAGGCTCGTCGTATTGAACAACGGTGTCGTAAACGAAGAGGTCTCGGTAAGGCGATCTCACATAGCTGTATACCTCTGCAGTGGAGGCTATTAGCAGAGATGACGAGGATGGTTGGACACGCACCGTGCGCAAAATGCTCAGCATTGTCCTTGCCGCCATCAGGATCCAAGAACTCGGAAATGAGCTTCACAGCACTCTCCGAGCGAATGTCGATGGATTTCATGATGGAAATTGTGAACGTGGTGAGGAACTCGACGTCAAGGTTTGGCCAGATGCGAAGTTCGCGACGAAGAAAAGAGGTTGTCCGTCGGACCATGTCGTCGGATGCTGCAAAGTTCTGGGGCGAAGGATAAGGCCGGTACTTGGTAAACATATTGGAGGCCACATGCTGCAGTGGGCAGCCTCAGTGCCAGCGGGCCCGATAGAGTTGGTATCGCACCTTTGCATAAAGTCCCCAGTAGTAAATAGCCCGACGCTTCTCTATCGACTCTTCCAGCCGGTCCACTTCCTCTCTGTATCGTCGCTCGCGTCGTTGCTGTCTCGATGGGCCAGGTGTGGGGTTGGCCATATCTCGTTTAACGAGGTAGTGTTTCTGATAATCGTATCGCCCACGAAACCGGTGGATGAGATAGTCGCCTATGATTTGGTTACACAGTGGGCATTTGCTTGACTGTTCTGCGCCCAACGCGATTAGAGTGGTGACTCCCGGCTGGTCATGAATTCCTTACCAGACCATTCGAGGATGCACCCAAAACAAAATTCGTGGGAGCAAGTCGGAACAATTGCGCGGTCCTTGTATGTGTGAAGACATATAGAGCACGATTCTACGTCTCCTGTGCCATTTTGTGCCATTGGCGTTTGGGAACAAGCATTGATCATCATTCTACTTAGCACAAGGTGGAATACGATCACGTCAGGTCGCCTACGTCCCACCACCACCCACGTCGGCTAGTCGAACTGCGGCTGTCATTCCAAGTCCACACAAGATTGGATATTTCAACATGACGAAGCATACGTTCATAGGCAGGGACGCGTTGCTCGTGATGGCAATCTACTAGGCTGCGTAGTTCTACAACTCTGCGAACCAGGAGAAGCTCCCCTGCGAGTACAACCGGAGTATCGCTACAACGAAGCAATAAAGCGGCGTTTCTGGTATCCCTCCCAGTATCAGAAGGCTGATAATTATTGAAATGGTCAAGCATCCGAACAATCCCATGCAACACAGTCAAGTGAGTAGCACATACAAGAATCCAGACGCTCCCAAACATCCTCGCAAGATACATGTTACTCGTCTTGGTGCCATTATTTGGTTTCGAAGGTCAGGAAATTACAACAACATAGTCTCCTCGAGCTAATGACATTGTGTAGCTTGACCAACAGTCTCGTCCTTGGTATGTGCTCTTCAGAGCGCACCTACATTTCTGCATTACTCCGGGGGAGCATGCGATACAGAAGAAATGGGTTGCAGCCTACTCACTAAGTCGAAGTATCTGCAATTGGATGAGGGCACATAAGATCAATGCCATCTTCTTTCTCGTCGCCACCGCCAATTATTTCTCTCGGAGCCTCGAAGGCGTACTCTAGTGACCCCCAAAAAGCTCTACCAGGAGCATTGCAGACATCGCAAGCAATGTGGGATGGTGAGAATGCCCGTTGACCGCTAAGGAGGTTATGAGGCCCTTGGTTAGTGCAACACATGCCGATAAGCTTCAATGCCCTTCTATAAAGGCATTGGCAAGTGCCCGCGTAGCTCAGTGGTAGAGCATTGTACTTATGAGGTTACACCAACCCTGTGCTGCCTGGTTCCGCCAGAAAACACATGACATGTATGCAAGGGTCTCCAGTTCAATCCTGGGCGTGGGCATGTTTTTTCAGTTTTTACCGCTGTCACATAATATTAGGCTCTAACTTGGTTCATAATTCAAACCAGGCGACCAACGACCGTCGAGCGTCGAAGTCCGGAGATATCTCAGATCCATTAGTGCCAATGGCACAAAGACGGTTTCATTTATGTAACAGTTCTTGAAAGGTTCATATCAAATCGAGCAACAGTGCAGTGGGTGTGTAAGTACTAGGATGTATGGTATACAGAAAGAGTCTATGCCAAGAGAGAACCGTAACGCGTAGAGCTCGTAAGAAAAGATGACGTTGGACATTAGAGTGCATTAGCCGGGAAATGTAGAACTAAGGTGTCCAGGGATCGACCATCTCACTTTCGTGGGTCATCGTGGCTGCATCACGACGGACGGGATTGACGCGTGGGTATACAAACTTCAAGCAGTTAGAACGTGGAAGGATGAGGATGAAGATCACAAACCCCAGTGTTATATTCGTACATGACCTCGGCAGCGATGATTTCCTTGTCCTTGACAAGGCATGTGTACATATTCACGAAGATGGTCAACTAACGTAATGTCAGCATCAAGTTTGTTTGACAATGAACGGCGCGACCTGTGCCCAAACGAGGCTCATAACGATGAGCATTATCATCCAGTTCGTAGATCCAGTGGCCATCCATAAGAAACAATGTGCGGGCGAATAAATACAAAACAGATGCATTGGCCGTTCGCCAGGATTCCACATGTCGATTTGCTGGACGGATGTGCGACGCGTCGATGCACCTTCGGTAGACGAGCGCGACCCACAGAGTCTGCGCACGAATCCTAACACAATTGCTGAAACACGCTCGACCAGCGTGTCTTGCTGCTGTATGTCGACATCGATGTCGGACGATACAAACCGGGCATTTGGAGAGCTGACAGGTTCAGAGCGCTTGTTGAGTCGGTACACACGAACGCGTGTAAGCAGATATATGGCGTTCCCAACGCTCGTGGCCAATAACAGCAGTGTCATAGGAAATGTCTATAACATGGTCAATGCAGTCTTGACATAGTAGGCTGAACGCACCCAGTCAAACCAGGACGTTCCCCGGGCTTCATAATGCATACTCTCCCATCCGAGCTCATCATCCGAGACGCTTCCACATTGCTTGATGCGCACAACAAGGTGTAAGAGGTGGCACAACCCTCCAAGAAGCCAGGCCGCGTTTTTTGGTTCAGGTAATGGGACATTGTTAGGGAACTGGGAAGCCTCGAACATCAGACGAGATGGAAAGTCCGCTAGTCTACGGGAAAATAAGTTTTGGTCGCGTCTTCAAAAACGAGGCGCACTTTTCAAAACAGGTTCTTTTGCGCACGACAGGCGCTCTACGACGTGCTGGAGTGGCCTGCGGGTTCACTCCATTTCCTAACCTCCTCGGGGTTGCAAACGGCGCAGGTTGACGGGTCCGGACAGCATCCCAGTCAAATGGAATGGTGTGTGAGATGGAGGGGGTGGTCGCGGGCGAATGACTAATGACCACAGATCGACGAGGCCTGTTACGCGGCGTCACCGGAGGCGGCGGTGCTGGAGAAGTCGTTGAACTGGTCTGAGAGCTAGCATTTCCCCGTGAATTGGCAGAGTTGGCCTGGGCAAGCCGCCTTCGAAAATCCATGACGGTAAGACCGCGTGCAGACGTTGGCCTTTTAGGGATTGCAACAGAGTTGGCACCGGTGCTGGTGGATTGAGGAAGGAATGTTCAAAGAGGGACAGGCCAAAGTTGTGGGCCAGGAGAACAAACGCCAGGTGCGTGACGATCACCGAGCGTGACAATAATTCCAAGTTGCCTCCGGTTCCGCCTCCGCGGAATCGACCCCGACAAAACAGGAGGATGTCCGCAGCGAGAATTTGCGGGGTCGATGCAGGCGCACGTACTGGTTCGACGACCTCTTTTTTTGGGGGAATTAATTTGGAGGAACAATTGGCTTTTGTGCACCCACGTGGTGCCCGTGCGGCACGTGCTTATAAGATGTTTGGTTCGGGTTTTGTTTTTCATTCCGTCCCACCACCATCCCGAGCGTAACCCCCCAACTTCTTCACCACGTCTCAATCCATCCTCCGCACGCAGACCACCTCCTTGTCGCCAAGTTCTTCAGCAAGGTGAGCAATTGCGTCTATTTTCCTTATGGTGCGACTAATTGCCGTCCAGCGTCAGGATGGCCCAACCCTCGTCTTCGCATCATGACAGTCACCGTCACCACCGGTCCTCGTCTTCTCATCACCACCACCGCACGATATCATCAACGACTCTTCTCCTTGTTCTGTCTCTCATCCTGGCAGTTCTTGCCGTCATGCTCTCACTGCCGAGCAGTAGTGCCAGTGCCGCCTCTGGAGAATCCGGCCAGACCGGGAGCATCCTCAGCGCACTGAACCCCAAGAGAGCTCAACAGCTGATTTCCCGCGAGGCTGCAGTCACCACCCGTGAGGCTGAGGTCGCCCGCCGTGAAGCTGAGCTTCTGGCCGGCGCGCCCGGCGGTATTTTGCCCAGCCAGCCCACGCCAGTGATCTGCCCCGCATGCCCAACCGCCACCGCCATCGAAACCGTGTACGCCCCAGCACAGACCATCGTGCAGGAGGTTGTCAAGGAGTCGGCACTCACTCCCCCCGGATACAATGGCGCACGGTTCGATGAGATTATCGATAGGGAGCTCAGAGTCGCTGAGCGCGAGAGAGATATCAGCAAGCGTGAGGAAAACCTCAACCGCCGTGAAAATGACTCGTCGCGTCGGGAGGCCTGGATTATGGAGCAGCTCATGTGCGTCATATGTTGCCTGTCCGTTCCTCATCATACTGACGTGGTCGTACAGTGCGCTCGGTAACGCCGACGAGGTCGAGGAGGAGTACTACTACGAGCCAGCCGCCGCAAGGCGCAAGCCCGCCAAGGTACCTCCGCCACCTATTCAGCGCCGCTCCGAGCTCTGAGACGAAGGGGGATCCGACATTTCTTGCCATCACGTATTGTCCGTATCTGTCCCCTCTATGTACAACCTCCTTCGTCCAGGCTTGGGGGATAACGGTGTTCTTTCTTTCCTTGTCCCCCTCGCCTCTTCTTCGGTGATAATCACGCAGTAGCCGAACGCGCGTCTTTGCGATCAGTCATGCCTTTCGCGAGTCCTTCACGTGCCCATGTAGTCGTGGACTTGCGGCTGATTCCGCGGATGCGTCTCGGATACTGCCTGAGTATCACCTTCCATCCCTCCATGTCACCTTTTTGAACGTTGCGCTGACTGTCTTTGCAGTATCAGTATCAACAAGCTCCTCAAGAACTCCCTTCCGTCGTCGTTTCTGAAGTCTTCGAAACCGAGACCATGACCGTCGTTCAAACACAAGTCGTCACTGTCCCACCCCCTGCGAACACTCGTCTGGCTGCGCCGGCTGCTCCAGAAGGTTCCGACCCATATTCCACAGCGTACTCTCCTCGTACTACCGCCGTAGAGATCATTCACGAGCAAGTCACTCACGAAGAGGAAGAGGTTGAGGAATACTACGAAGAGCCGGTACGGGCTACTCGACCGCGCCCAACACGCATGCCCAACAACCGCAGGTACGGTAACAACTGGGATTAGACTTGTGTAGGACTTGGACTTGTGTTTCATTATTGCTCTGCTTATTTACGGTAGCCCGTTGCTTGTTTTCTCTTTATGACTCCATCCCATCCCTTTTCCACCTATCCTTGCTGTTGCTAGACAACCTCCCTTTACCCCCTCATACTTACGCGTTGACGATGTTGACGAACCCTCTACTTACAGAGTAGTGTACAGTACTTTAGTTAGGATTTTACGATACGACGACCAGAAAATGCACGGGCTTTGAAATTGTACTTTGTGTACGCCGCATATTCTTGACAGTTTAGCAGGATGTGCAAAGTAACAGAAGCGTTACATGATGTGAGCGGCCTAGCAGATGGAAGGCCGAAGCTGCATGGAGCTGGCAGAGAGGCTTTGAGAGGGCATTGCGCGGCACGATCGGGAAGAGTGACCACAACTACCCCGGTTCGTGGTACGAACTTGCCTTTCGATTTCATTGTGCAGCGAGTCGTGACAACCAAAAATGTGGTCAACTTGCTTTCGTATATCGCACGATGAATATTCTCGCTATCAACAACCTCAACCAACTTCCTTTGGCGAACCCGATCTTGGTCGGCGCCTGTTTACTAGCTCTGTGACAAGTTTCCCGCTCTACCTTCACGCAATGAAAGAACCCTTTCTGTGACTCAGGAAAGAATAGGCGCCCACCTTATCGTTTTTCGGATCGCCTTGCGGCAGCAACAACCAGTCTTGCCTTTGACCTTCGCCATGGCCACTCCGCGCGAGCTGGAGTACATCGCGAACCACGTCTTCATGCCGTTGAAGCTTCCCCAAAAGCAAGACTTACCTGACGACAATGGCACTTACGCCAATGCGCAAGCACTGGCATCCGCTGTCGCTCGCGCTGCAGAAAACTACACGTGTTCTCATGAACGCTGGCCTGCCCTCAAAAAAATGTTGGGCACCGTAAAAACCCTCCACGGGCAAGACTACACCAGCCTTGATTTGTTGTCTGCCTTGAACAATGCCAATACCGGCGGTGAGGCGAGGATATTGCGTTTCTCGTCCCAAAACTAATTCTTTTCGTACCAGACCTCTTGGCTCTTTTGGTTCGCGAGCAGAATGCTGGGATTATCCTCAGAGTCGGGGCGGATGATGTCGTCTGCGAGACCTTCGAGGTCTCTGCGACAAATTCTGCTGTCATGGCCTGCGGGAATAGACTGTCCATGGCATTCCCTGGGCCGACAACCACCTTCCCAAGGTAGGATCATTAGCAGACATCTTAGAAGTGACTGAGGCGTTCCAAGGGCCGAGTTCAACAAAGCAGAGTTCCGCAGCCAGCTCGTCGCATTCATATCCGCCATGAATCGTGACGTGCTCGATGGCTCCGCGACGAAGACACAGAAGGCTGGCTCGTCGAACAAGGAAGAGCGCGATACACCTCATCCCCGCTATATCA